GGGAAATTCGCCTCGGGTTGCGACCAAATTCAGAGGGCGGGCCGGATTAACCAGATTTACATTGAACCCTATGGGAAACTTTACCGCAACTTGAGACCAACTCGAGTTGCAACCAGAGTCACGGAACGAATTAAGTTCGTATCCCGAGGTACCACTGTATGGCTTAGTAACTCTTTGACTTTTTCCCTGTATTAGTAGATTGAAGAGAAGGGGAGACAAATGAACAAATGGAGTTAAAGGGCTCAGCTGCCCAAGTAACCAGTAGTCAAAAATCAATCTGCCCAGAGCATTTGCACTTTTAAGAAAATTGATTTTCTTGGTAGAAGAATGGTCTTCAGTAAGATATGGTTTCTGCTGTGAAGGATAAGGGTTGTAGTGCCTCCATTTGTGAAACTCCTCCCCATACAGCTTCAGAGAGCAGCTACAATGTTCTCATTTTGTGGTAAGATTTTTTTTTTTAAAAGATCTTTGATCTCAGGTAGTTTTGTATAGGATCTGTTTAATGCTGTTCTGTTGTTTTCTTATGCCTCGCTAAACATTTTTCCTGCAATCCTTTGCAGAAGGCACTTTAAAAGCCTAACATTTAAAGTAAGATTTGCTCTTCTGGCACAACTTTGCTAATTTTTTGCTTCTGTCTTCTTGCCTGACAGACACATCATTTTTGCTCCAAGCAGTCACAACAAATACGCAGGCATGTCATTCCCAGGGATCTACGATGCTCTTTTTGATATTGACCGCAAGACAGATCCACACAAAGCTTGGGAAGAAGTCAAGAGGCAGATCTCTATTGCAGCCTTCACTGTCCAGGCTGCTGCAGGGATTCTGGAAGCTGTGTTGTAAGACAGTAGCCGCAGAATGGAAGAATTTAAGTGGCCTATTTGCCTGGCCAGAAAACGTTCTCTCTTCAAATGCATGTAATTTTACAACCACAGCGTATCACAATAATGCTGTTTCCGGTACTAGTAATTTGAACTTTGCTCAAATTGGAATGGGAATTTGAGATCCCCCTTCACTCCTTTCTCCAATGCGGGTCCAATATTTAGTTCCTTAGGCAGTCCTTCCAATCTTCAGGTGGTTAAGCCTAGGGATGTCAACCCTGCTCTGTACACAAACTGACCTATGAATAGATTTCAGACAGCCCATGCCTGCTTGGGTGTTTTGGATTATACACAAAATGAAACAGGGCTGTTTTGCTCTTTGCATGAAACAAAATATGGCCGTTTTCTTCTGAGCCCAAATGATGAAGGTGGGAGTCGGGAGAAAAAACAAGGACTTGTTGGCTGAGCGGGAGGGAAGATGCTGTGACATTAGTAGCAGGTAGATGTATGGAGGGAGAGAAGAAACTTGGATGATCAGGGGCAGGCAAGGGAGTGGTACATATTATGGTGTACATCAGCAATGGCAGCTAAGGGGAAGGAGGAATGGTGCTGGGAAAATTTGGAGTGGTGGATTGAGCAGCCAAGGAAGCCACGGAAGGGGGAGAGGTGTAACGTGCATAGACTTGCCCTGCTCACCCTATTCAGATTTTGTTTGGCCTGACACCTGGAACAACGAAAGCATTGTGGGATTTATTTCTCCTAAACAGTGGTTGACTTGAATATTTCAGCAGAGCCTCTTGAATGCAATGGTTTGTTCCATGTCAGATACAACACATTTTTTGTACAGTGGGGCAAAAAAGTATTTAGTCAGCCACCAATTGTGCAAGTTCTCCCACTTAAAAAGATGAGAGAGGCCTGTAATTT